CTTCCCAAAGTGGAGCCATCTCGGTCCCAGAGGGACCCTCCAGGTCCAAATCTCTCTGCTCTGTTTCAGCATTCCCTGCGCTCCCTCCTCAGCCCAATTCCCTGCTCACAAGCACCCATGGAGCAAACCCCAACCCAGCACCCGGCACAGGGTTGAGCCTGCTCCAAACCCATCCACCTCCCGGAGAGATTCGGTTGCTGCCCTGAGCCCCAGCACCCCGCAGCATTGCCGCTCTTACCTGAGATGCGAAAGGATGAAGAGCGAATGAGGATCTTTGGGACAGGAGCGCTTTTATACCCGCGCACCCCGTCCAGAAACGAAGCACCTCCCTATCACAGAGGTCTGACTGTTCATTTAATTCACCAATGGCCTTTTTTTTTTTTTGCCTCCCCACTCTTCGAGTTGCTTGCGTGACTCACTTCACCTGCGCAGGGTATCGCCTCTCGTTATCGTTCGTCTTTCCCGTGCCACAGAAATATTTAATTGCCAGCCCTACCTGTGCTGAGCTCTGGTGGGTGAGTAGTGTGGGTGGCCCCGGTTTCCACAGCTTTGACAGTTTGTTTTTGGTGTTGATCACAGCTGGGGAGCATTTACCTAAATCACATCGATCTTTTAAAAGTTCTTGAGGTGCTCTAGTCCTATAAACATCCATAAACCCGGAGATGTACCTATAAATATCGCCTTTGGTGTGGGAGACGACTCTTCCTTAACTGCACTTTGACTGGTACAACTGTTGGCTTGTTTCTCTTAACACCAGCTGAAATATGGTGGAGTGGTGAAGAGAGACGAAAGGCAGCTCCGATAAAACATTTTTTTTTTTGTCTGTCGAAAGTTTCCTGTAGTTGGGAGAATGACCAAAACCATTTGGGATTCTTATTTTTGGAAGGAGGAAGACCTGCCCTAGGTAGTGATCCAGGATTAGCGAGGTCCATAATTATGTGGTTAACTTTCAGCCTGTGAGTAACGCTGGAGTGGCAGCACCGCTGTCTTTTTTTCCAAGGTCGTGAGAGGCTTTGACACTGCCACGTGGAGGAGGGCTCCCATGGGTGCTGCCTTCGGTGATGCATGCTGGCCTGGGGTGGTTGCTGGGAGCTGGCAGACCCCGGAGAATTTCACCAAACTTGTAGGAACACTATTTCTTGAGCACTTTTCCCTGCTCTCCAATTAACTCATCATTAACCAACAAATCTGAGTGTTATTTTGATGGTTGCACAGCCCCACATGGGCCTTTGGGCCAGGCCAGGTATGGCGTTTGCAGTGAGAGCTAATCGCAAGCGATGATTTGAGATACTCCTTATGTTTCTCCTGTACCTCTTCTGCGTTGTCTGCAAAGTGTTGAAGACCATGGATCTTGTTTTGCCCTTTTCTGACACTGCTTGTGGAAGACATTCCAGTAATTAAACAGGCAGCAAAAAAACGAGTAAATAACAGCTGAGATAGGGAACTGCTGTGATTTTTGTCAGGGCAAAAGTGCTAGGAAAACACTGTCTGACCACCAGTACGGTTGAAGTATTTCAGGTGCTTGAGCATCTGGTATTTTTGGTCCACCTCTCCTGCCTTTTATTTTTCTTTCTCCATGCTGGTTAAGTTTTTATGTTATTCCCAGATGCTGGCTGCAGTGAGGTGGAGGCTTCGCCCCATCCCGTCTTTGCTAATGCTGTTTGAGAGACCCAGTGTCCTTCGGGAAGTGGCTGGAAAACTAAACCAGATGTGCCTCTCCACAGCCTGGTGTGAGCCCCTGCTTTGAACACAGGCATCCAAACCTTTGTTAAAGTCCTGAGTGGTTCCCAAAAAACACATTTGATGTTAGCGAAACATGGAGGATTTTTGGAAAGGCATCCAGACAGGGCAGGGTTAATGAATCAGGCACGCAACCTAAATGCTTCTTTTGTATTGCTTAATTGCTGTTATGTATTAGAACAGTAGCAGGACAAACTGTACCCAGATTTGATCTCTTCTGTTTAGTTGTGTTTTTTTCTGGCATCAGAAGAAATACGGCAAATACTCTCCGTGAAAAAAGATACTCTAATTTTTGGCTTTCAACGTCACTCAGTATATTAAGTTGTTCTGAGTTTGTTAAAGATCAGCAGCACCCAGCTAGCAGTCCTGGGCACCTCTGGATTTTGTGGCTGTCCATCTTAACGTGCCTTGAAAATGGGATTTGTGATGGGGGCGTAAGGCAAATGCCAGACTGGCACAACCAGCCTTTTCAAATGATTCCTCCACCGAAAGCAGGCAGCCTGCTCAGGGAGTCAGCTGCTGCCTGCACCCTTTTCAGCAATGCCAGATATTTCTAATCATGGTGACACATTAGACAATCATCTTTTCAAGGCAACATCCATTTCGTGAATGGCAATACCAGGCCAATCAATTACACAATTCATTTTAATTACCAGCTGAGAAGAAGTTTATCCGTTCGTTGTGTAACGTTAGCATCTTGCAATGCTCCTGGCTCAACCCCGTGCTCTTGAAGTGCTGGGCAGAGGGTTTCTAGAAAGGCTTGCTGGGGCGTCTGTCTCAAGCACGTGAAGGTGGTACCTTGGGGCCAGAGGGCAAAAAAGGGATTTCTGACCCTTCACTGGTGCCTTTGCCTATAGGACTTCTTCTGCCCCATGGTTGTGCCCATAGCTGGCCCCGAGGGCTTGTGGAACGCAGCCCATGGCGTCTTGGTGGGTGGTTTTTGGGTCTCCAGCTCTGTGGGAAGGTGGTGTGGAGGAGAGCGGCCTGCACTGAAGAGGTCATAGATGGCATCTTAAAATGCCACCATTGAAAAATTTTTATTCTCTCTATTTGGAGTCCATAGGGGAGGAGCGTGGCGGTGCCTACCCCTAGTGCTTGTGTCTGGGCGGGGTAACTTCAGGGCTGTTAAACAAGCACAAGGCGTCTTTGCGTCGTGATATGAAATGCAAGGTGAAAGAAAAATCATGGACACAAAACTCTCATGAACTCCAAATTTTACTGGCTCACACATGGCCAAACACTGACACAAAGAAAACCACACCGGCATGAATGTACACAGCGTATTTCCAGCACCCACAAATAAGCTCATCAGAGGTACAGGACTCGACAGGGGAGGGAGAGGAGACATTTTCTTTGAAGATTCCTAGGGAAAACACAAAGCTTTCTGAACTAGGCACCAGATCAAAGACATTCATGTGTACAACAAACAGATAATGTCCCGATCACTTCATCTCTGAGGATGCTTGATAAATTTGCTGCTGGTAATCCTGTGGGTTTCCATGGTAGGATCCACCACTGCTCCCATGGCATCCAGATCCACTGCTGCTCTCGTGGCATCCGGATCCTCCACTCCCATGGCATCCGGACCCACCGCTGCTCCCATGGCATCCGGATCCTCCGCTGCTCCCGTGGCACCCTCCACTGGCTTGATATGAGGATTGTTCTTGCCCGTGGCACTGGTGCTTGTCCTGGCAGGAGCCCATCCTTGCAGACCTGCTGGAAAGACCATCATCTTTGAGTGGGTGCAAAGGCAAGAGACACTGCCGTCTGTCAGCTAGCAGTAATAGATATTGGATGAGATAGGGTTATATAGCAAGCATAAATTCTCATCATAAGCCAGGTTCTTGAAGAAGAGAGAAAAATGAGCAATGTCCTTCAGGATCAGGACAAAGCTGGTGGTCAGTAAAAGCAGAGAGGTTTGATTGAGCTTTTTTTTACTTCGAGAGGAGGCGTGAAGCTGAGAGAATGAGGAGTGTGAGATCTTTTATAGACAGCCCAGTGTTCTCCCTCCGGAAAGAAAATGAGCTTCCACTGAAGGCACTTGATTGTTCACCACCATGAGTCCTGTGCTAATTGGAGAGTTTTTCCACTGCTCTTTTGACTCATGGTAGTATGAGCAGATCGATATCCTGCCTTTGGGATCACCGTTCCTCTCGTTACCCTGAAAAAATGTTAATTGCCCACCACGCCTGGTGTGGTTCATGCTCAGGGATGGGGAGGTTTCTGGATGCTCTTGCTGCCTTTACCTAAAGCATTTGCCTGCTTCATCTGCCTCATGCAAAGCAGCCGTGAGCTCATGTCGATGATGTGAAAATGTCAGCTGATGGGAAGGTGGGATAGTGGTATAGGCTGGTGGACTGGGTTGGAAAAGGATCCAGAAAATAAAACGGTCTTGAAAGAGATCAAATAAGAAGATGGCAGGGTGTAGGAAAAACGAGTATGTTTGGGCAGCTTGGGAAAAAAAATCTAGGTTGTGAGTGGGTGAAGGAAACAAAGAGAATTAAGGACGCAGGTATGAGCGCATGATGGGGCGGCAGAAGGCGAGGGCAGAGCCTGGGGCTGGTCGATGTGCGGGTGCCCTGAAAACAAGGAGCGTGAGCATCCTCTGCTGAGACCCGGGGGCTGACATTGGCTGTCCGCCTCGGCCAGGGCAATGGGGCTCAGCCCTGGTGGGTTACAAAAGGAGTCAAGTTGCCTCTGGGCTCTAAAGCTGCCACCAAGGTTTGAGTTTGGGGTTTAGGATGATGGTGATGTGAAACTCCAAAGCAAACTCCTGCTGGATGCATCCAGTTGGAATGATGGAAGTAGGAAAACCCAGCTGGTTGGGATGTGTCCGGGAAGTAGCATCAAAAATAAACTTATTCCGGAGTAAAACAGCAAAGAAGCACTGGTGTTGCAATATTTCCTCCCTCTGTACCTCTGTCCTCACAAGTACATTGGGGAGGGCATCGGGATCCGCGTCTCTGTTGATTTAATGCTCTGCTTTGGGGAGAAAAGCGTCTTTCTGTGTACAGAGTGCACCAGGCCTGATCTCAGCCAGGACTCTAGAGGCCACTGTAATATTAACAATAGCACAGATCCAGTTTAAACAGAATACAGAGTCGAGGAGATTCATTGGTAACCAATGGAGCTGAATCACTTGAACGAAGAGATACATGAGGAAATCAGAACGTGTCTGGGGATATTTCACAAATGGCAGAAGAATGAATTATTCACGATGAAGCACTAATTACACCCTGGATCACCCAGGTGGTGACAAACATGTTTATAATTTCTCTCGGTGATAACGACATCCACCCGAGCACGGCCTGGGGAGGATCCTCACGCGCATCGGAGACCTGGACGCGTGTATGAGACAGGATCATATTTACCCGACAGCCGGTCTCTGAGCCCCACGTGTCTTCTGTGAAGCACCTAGTCTTTGGGAGAGGCTTCCCTGCCTCCCTTGATCCTATTTTGAGTGGCTGGCCATTTTTTCCTTTGGGTAATTTGTTGGTATTACAGAGGGAATCGCCTTGGCAATTGTTCTAATGCAAGCCTCGAGAGCTGGTTTTTTCCCCAGTTTGGATCATGGTTTCTGGATATGCGGTCATGGTTCTTCTGTATTTCAGTTACTGGTTTCCTATTTATGAAGGAGATAAATGAAGCACAGAAAAACCCCAACATCTTAGAAAGATCTGTGGGGCACTCCAGGTACAAGTTCAAACCTCCAGATCCCTGAGAGGTGATGTAAGCCCCAAGATCTCTTTTGTTTTGGACAAGGATAGCTCATGTGAAATCACGCTCATTAGAGGTTAGACAAATAAACGTCAAAATGGCTTCAGAAGAGCAACTCCTGCCCTGGGGCAAAGGCAGCATGAGCTGCCCTCCTGAGGTGTCATTCAGCCCTCCTGTTCACAGTCCAGCAAGCTCCAGAGGGGATTTGAAAGTGGATTTGGCCACCTTTCCCACCACCCCACCCCTTGACATGATAGTTTTGCTGGCACCTTCCTTGCCACAGAGGTCCCCAAGGCTTGCATGAGCCGTGTTTCGTGCACTGGCATAGCTGAGCCATCACAGCCTGAGCCTGCTCAGCCCATGGGGTGGGCATCTGGGCTGCCCCAGGGCTGGGCCAGTCCATGGAGCCATGCTTGGGGTGGGGACTGTGTGCTCTGCAATGCACGTTGGCATCAGCCTCTGCACCTGCACGAGGAAGAGCCTGGCGAGGAAGGCTTGCTGCGGCGCCAGGGCAGAGCGTGTTGGCAGACCCCGTGTGTCCATCTATAAAACCTCCATCCCAGGAAGGGGCACCCTCCACCTGTTTTGACTTCTTTTCCTTATCCAGATTGTACTGTGGGACAAATCTCCACCATTAACCTTGCGAAGTGGCTGACTCTGCGATGTGTCACGTCCTGCAGGATGGGCCAGGAGGGACACCGGGAGATGGGGACGATGGAGGCTCTCTCCTGAGCTGGGTGAGGTGTGAGGAGCCACCTGGGACATGACACTGTGAGACACCGATTCCAGATCCCTGCTTTGCCACAACAATCCTCCCAGGTGATTCCTCTTCCAACCCAGGTCCTATCTTACAATGAGTGTGGGACCTTTTGCTCCGTTAGAGATCAGGTCCGTCCAATTGCTCCCCTGATGTCTACAAACCCATTTCTAATTTCTATTTGATATGTATTCCTGGTCAGACAACCCCCATTTCTCCCTGGGTCAGTGTTCATCTCTGAGAGGTCTCACCCCTCTCTGGTCTTTCCCAACCATCTGAGTGGCACCGAGCATCCCTGAGCACCGGCTGCTGCAGACATCCAGGTCCCACAGGGATTTTTTTGCATTTGTGTATTAGTATTTAATTGCTGGGTTGCATAAAGAGTCTGTGATGAAAACTGTTAGTTCTTTCTCAACAAGGAAGTTGTCTGGAGTAGGAACAAAAAAGGCACCAGGCTGAATCAACCAGGAACCTCTATGTGAGGGTGAACGGGGGTGCTGCAAACATCACCTTTGGCCACAAGAAGTGACAGAAGGAACCCAAAGGAATGAAGTAGAAAACATTGATGCAAGAGGGTTATGAACCATAAGCTTTTATTGCCTCCACAGCTGCTGTGAAATAAGGAGGTGAACAGCATTTAATATTTCACAGAGACAGTGGGTTACATCTTCAAAGCTCGTTACAAGCAAAAGGACAGGAAGAGTGAAAATCCATGAGCAACATGGGACGTGTCGAACGTAAAGGCAATGTTGTGAGAGTGAGAAGTTACTCTCATTCAGCCCCGCTCCTCAATTCCCCTACTTTATCTTCCGGGCTGGCGCTTTGCAGACCTGCTGATGTTGCTGGGTCGGGATGCCCTTTGGCACGGGCACATAGCCTTGATGCATCGGAGGAGGACAGGTCTTCACTGGGTGATGCTGCTGGATTGGGATGGACTTTGGCATGGGCATGTGGCCTTGATGGATGGGGGAGGCACAGGTCTGCACTGGGTGATGCTGCTGGATTGGGATGGACTTTGGCATGGGCATGTGACCTTGATGGATGGGGGGGGCACAGGTCTGCACTGGGTGGTGCTGCTGGATTGGGATGGACTTTGGCATGGGCATGTGACCTTGATGCATGGGAGGGGCACAGGTCTGCACTGGGTGGTGCTGCTGGATTGGGATGCACTTTGGCATGGGCATGCAGCCTTGCTGCACTGGAGCAGGACAGGTCTGCACCGGCTGGTGCTGGGGGATGCACTGCCTCGGTTTGCTGTAGCTCGGCTTCCCTCCCTGGTGACCTGATCCGTGGCACGTCTCAGAGCAGACCGACCTCCCGTAGCTTTGGCATCCTCCTGATGACCCATGGCTGTGCGTGGGCCTCCTGGCACAACTTGAACCCCCACCTCCTTGGCATGAACCTGAGGGCTCATGGCATCTCTCAGAGCAGACCGACCTCCCGTAGCTGTTGCATCCTCCAGATGAGCCGTAGCTGTATGTGGGTCTCCTGACACAGCTCGAGCCCCCGCCTCCATGGCACGAATCAGTTGCAGCATAGCTGTGGCATCTCTCGGAGCAGACGGCGATAGCCGTAATGCCGGTAGTTGTGCCCTGCCATGCCTTCGACGCCTTCGTTGTCGCACCCAGAGGAGCAGGTTTCGTAGCCGTAGCGGAAGGGGGTGCGTCGGGTGTCCAACCAGGACCCCGAGGGATCATACCAAGTTGAGTTCAAATTGAAGTACGATTCTCTTCCAGAAGAGTATATCATGTTTGAGTTGTAGGGA